TCATGCTACAGGGACATGCTTAAGATGTTCTTAGTAAGACATTTCTAGGACAAGGGTCTCCAAACCTGGCAACTTTAAGATTTAAGGAATTGGAGGCTAAAATGCAAAAGGAACGGTTGCAGGAATTGAGTATGTCTAGTGTCAAAAGTTCCAAGTTATACCTCCAGAATAAATAGGACTCCAAAGCAGTTGGCACAGGCTGGTAAAACTGACTCTGAATATTCCCACAGTTTTCACCAAGTTAACAGTAAAAGGTTTTTCCCCTTCTCCAAACAGTCAGTCACATGGCCCAAACATCGTGTCGTCTGATTGCCTGGTAACGTCACTCCGCCTCTCTCTGACCACCTGTGGGAATGTCCTTGGTTCCCAGGAGAAAATATTTTGTTTTGGCTACAAACCCCTCAATATTCCCCACTCTCTAAATCTCCTCTCCAGTATGGCAGCCCTGTAGCCCCAAAAATGGCCTCTCTTCAGGGTGAACATCTAGTTTAATGAAAAGAAGGACTAGGGGTGATATGATAACAGTGTTCCAATATCTCAGGGGCTTCCACAAAGAAGAGGGAGTGAAGCTGTCCGCCAAAGCAGCTGAGAGCAGGGCAAGAAGCAATGGGTGGAAACTAATCAAGGAGAGAAGCAACATAGAACTGAGGAGAAGTTTCCTGACAGAACAATTGATCAGTGGAACAGCTTGCCTCCGGAAGTTATGGGTGCTCCAACACTAGACATTTTTAAGGAGACATTGGACAGCCATTTGTCTGAAGTAGCATAGGGTTTCCTACCCGAGCAGTGGGTTGGACTAGAAGACCTCCAAGGTCCCTTCCAACTCTTGTTATTTATGGCTGGCTGGAGAATTCTGGGAGTTGAAGCCCACAAGTCTTAAAAGTTGCCATGTTTGAAGACTCCTGGTTAGGAGATAACTTCGACAGCCCTTAAAGATTTCTACATGGATTTATAAGGGAAAATCCTAGCATCGGGAGTAAATTGTTAAACAGTTGGATCAATTCTTGAGAATGGTGGTGGATTCTTTTTCACTGATTTGACCCTGTAGTAGCTGGCAGAATATCTGCGATGGATTATTTCAATTTGGGATTCCTGTACAGTGATTGGGATTGGATTTGATTAGACTCTTTCTCCATTTTTCTATGATCATATACCAGAGATACATTATATAAATATTCTGCAATCTGGTTGTGATTCTCCATCCTCTTGCTCAATAAAAACCAACCTTTTATTTTATACTATTTGTATAGACATTTATGAGATAGGAAATAAACAGAAATGAAAACTGTCTGCATCCCAGCATCGGTTTTGTCATTTTCATTGTAGCCGTACACATTTTTCATCACATCGTCCCCCAGGATTTCTTTTATGTTTCCAGGGAGTCCTTGACTTATGACCAGTTGTTTTAACAACCATTCAAAGTTACAAGGGTGCTGAAAAAGGTAAAGTATGACACTGTCTTGACACTTGATGGCTTTGCAGTGTCCCCCATCACAATGCAAGTGTTTCTTTTATGGTTATTAAATGAAAGGTTGTAATTAGTTGTAGTTGCAGTTAGATTTTCCAACTTTCTGATCATCTAAAGAGGGTGCTCCCTCTCTGTTCCTGGCACATCTCCATTTGGAAAGTATGAAATATTTTTCCTCCCTAAACCCAGGATAAGTGGTTTTTAATTCAAATATATTTCATCCTGGAATATGTTTCCTCTGAAGATATATCTTCTGGGGCAAGTTTCAACACTGCCACTCTGAAGAAGCAGACCAGGATTCTTTCCCCAAATCTGATGCCACAGATGATGTACTTGATAGTCGAAGTGCTGCTCTCTGAACTACAAAGCAGGGAAGTCGGGGAGAAGCTGGGAAGTAGGAGAGAAAAAAAGCAATGGCTACCTGTAGGGTTGTAGAATTCGAACACAGAGCCGCTATGCAACAAAGCCAGCTTTCTATTCCTCACTTGACCCAAAAGTTTAGGCTGTCTCTTCCAGCAGAAGGGTGCACACAGCTAGCTGATCAATAGTGGCTCTCGAAAAACGTTAAAAGCAGAAGAATGGAATAGAATAATAGTTGGAAGGGACCTTGGAGGTCTTCTAGTCTGACCCCCCCTGCTCAGTCAGGAAGCCCTATAACCATTTCAGACAAATGGTTACCCAACATCTTCGAAATGTCCACTGTTGGACCATTCACAACTTCTAGAGGCAAGTTGTTCCACCGATTAATTGTTCTTAACTGCCAGGGGAATTTCTCCTTACTTCTGGGATGCTGCTCCCCTTGATTAGTTTCCATCTGTTGCTTTTTGTCCTGCCTTCAGGGGCTTTGGAGAATAAGTTGCCCCCCCCCCCTCAAATATTGGGACACAGCTATCATGGCACTCCTAATCTGTCATAATAAACAGACAAGCAAGGTGGGCTCCATTTGGGAGCTGGTTGGGAGACCACTCAGAAATCCATCTCAGGGTTATTAGGGTTGAGCAGCTTTCCCCAAATCTGATCCAAATCTGCGTGAGGAAGGGGCTGGACTAGAAAACCTCCAAAGTCCCTTCCAGTGCTACTCATTGATTGATTGATTGGTCATCACTGGAGGCTTTCAAGAAGAGACTGGATTGCCATCTGTCAGAAATGGTGTAGGGTCTCCTGCTTGAGCAGGGGGTTGGACTAGATGACCTCCAAGGTACCTTCCAACTCTTCTAACTTTGATGCCACGGACGAGCCACTCCGTTGCCCGGCCGGTCCGAGACCGCGGCGGGAAACAAAGCACAGCCGCAGCCTGTCGGGAGGGGGCGCCCGCGGGCTCCCGCCGAGCCAGCAAGAGGCGAAGCGAGGTGGGGATTGATGGGCGCAGCTGCGGCGGCCGCGAGTCCCGGGGGGCCCCCAGCGCTCGCACGCCCACCGGACGGGGAGGAGAGGAACCGCGCGGGTCCCGCCGCTGCCGGTANCCCAGATTGTTGGGGGCAATATGCTGACTCTCTGTAAACCGCTTAGAGAGGCCTGAAAGGCCTATGAAGCGGTATATAAGTCTACTGCTATTCTGAAGACAAGTTATTCCATTGGTTGATTGGTCTCACCCTTAGGAAATTTCTCCTTAGTCCTAGGTTGCTTCTCTCTTTGGTTAGTTTCTGTCAGAGTTTGTTGCAGCAATCACATCCAGAAAGCACAGGTAACTGATTCAGCAGGATTTATTAACTTCTCTTTATATATAACACATGAAGTAAATATACAATACCAAAAGCAGGTTTTCCAACGTGGTAGCAAATACAAGCAAACACAAGCAGAGGAGAGAACAGTTTCAGTTCAGAGCAGCAGACTACTTTTGAGCTCAGCTACACAGCTAAGCCACACCCAGGCTCCTAGCTGTCTCCAGCAAATACTGTTTCAGTTTCCAAACAGCCCTCATTGGCTGACTTAGCTGCTATGCCTATTCATTGGCTGACCTTGTTACCATGTCTCTGCCAGTCATGAACTCCCATACACTTACACTCCTCCCTTCATGACTGGAATAGATATAAATCCAATTACCTTAATATTCTTCAGATACCTGTATTTGAAGACCCAAATTCACAGTTCCCTTCAAATACCTGAGAATCCTTTTTACTGTGATACATCCTTTGCAATGAAAGAAAGATAATCCACAATAACTGGCAACCCCCACCTTTTAACTTTCCAGTGTATATGCAACCACCAGCCTTGCAACTCTTGAACCCAAGACACTTCAATGCCTTAATTAAACAGATAGTCCAATTCCTGGCTGACTGCTTCAGCCCATAAATGGCCTTGTTCAATTTATACACCGTGTTAGGCTTTTCACTTTCATACCCTGGTGCTTGAACCATGTAAATTTCTTCCTCTAATTCTGCATTGAAGAGTGCATTGGTTATGTCAAAATGCCAAATTTTATGGTCACATGCCGCTGCCAATGCTAGTGCCATACTTATGCTTTCACTCTTTACCGTAGGCGCGACTACCTCATCATAGTGCACATTTTTCATCTGTGAAAAACCTTGT